TTTTTTGCTCCTCCCTTCAAAAGGTGTTGTTTTCTTTACCCCCTCCTAGAAACAAAGACTGCAGCCCCGTTCTAGTTTTTTAGACCCCCTCCAGAATAACACCTCAAAAAAATCAAAAACGGACCAGCCCAGACTTCAGTGAAACAAGTCCAACAAGCCCACCTATGCTTGAAACCAACATTCGCTCAAGCCTTTAACCGTATCCCTAGCCTTGACCCCTTGAAGTTCATGTGACAATTATATACATTGGGTGGCTGTTTTTGCTTCTGTCAACACAACAACAGCGACAACAACAGCGACGACAACAGCGACGACACGGGCGATTGGGAGTCATAGTGAGGGGATTCACTGTTTGAGGTATCTGAGCGGCTACGTTTGGGTCGAAGAAGGTGGGAAGGAGGCCTCGGTTCGACTTGATCGTCGGATGTCGGGTATGAATTTCATGACGTTCTTCCGCCATCTATATGGCACCTCTCAAGCCTTCCAGGTAGTTGAACGCCTGATTGACGAAGGCGCCGATCACTTGGCCACTGCCTCAAGTCTGAACTATATAATGTATTTCTGCAACACGTTTCATCTCGATTGCCCCCTGATGGTTCAAGACAGATTTCCTGAGGAAAGCTTTGGCTGTAGGAGCTTTGAATGGAATGGGGGGATGGGTTTTCAATGCTTCGTGCTGGGTCAAGTGCACGTGGTAAAAAAGGGTTTTTGCTTCCGCAGAGGCCTTGGTTCCTAATTTTGCCAGCTTGATGTGCACGAGGAATTCACTGGCGGCGGCGAAACTGCAAAGGCCACGCTCCAAGAACCAGAAAGTGTTTCACGGGCCGCTTCCAGACACCATGGGGGTTAAGCCCCCCTCTTGATGCTTGTGGGGGATTACCCGGGTTGCATCGGGTTGCCTTCGGAAGTCACACGACCCACCAACAGCACCACCACATTGTCAATGCAGCTAAGTTTCAGTCAGAAGCCAAACTCAAGTGACCAGACGGAGACCGGACAGCTCCAGAAGGACAGCTTGCCGGGCCTTCCCAAGGTGGTGGCAGCCAGATGCGCCAAGGCCAGACATGCGCAGCATGCGCAGCCGGATGGGTCCAAAAACTACACCAACAATCTTTTGTGCCAGACACTGACGCCATTGACCCTGGAGCTCGGTGGCAAGAGTCCTGCTTTTGTGGATGCTGGGTGTGGACACCGAGAGGCCTGGATCAGGCCCCCCAGCACAAACATGGATCTGTTGGTTGGCGACTCTCGTTTGTGACGGTGACGATGTGGCAATGAGTCATCGAGCCCTCATGTTTCAACGAAACTGAGGCTGAGTTCTGACATGCTGCGAAATATCGCCAAGGAGATCACTGAAACTAAGGTGCAGATATTCTGAGAGAACACTCGTCAGACTTGTCGGTGCAGGTCAAGAACGTCTCAACCTACACCCCTCAGACCGCCCAATGGCATCCAATGGCTTCAGAGAGACTATTCCCATTATTTCTTGGAGGTGACCTACTGAAATTATGAACTTGGGGATTTGGGCGTCGATTGGCAGCAACATGACGAGAGTCTTGTTTCTGACACGTCCTGATAGCAGGTCTTCAAGAGTGGTCAATTCTGTTGCGCGCACGACTATGTGGGCATCCCAGGCAGTTTGCAGCGGAAGTGGTGATGGTGTGAGCAAGTACTCCAGCCAAAGGATAATGGTAGTGATTCTCACAATCATTATGTCCCAAGCCTTTTCCTAGACGGATGGATTGAGGCGCTGGTTCACAAATCTGTGTTCTCGGAGTTCTGTGCAGTGTTCGAGGCCAGGCGTGTGCTTCTCAGTGTGTTCAGAGCCAAGGCCAAGATCAACCTAGATGAAACCGGGGCATGTTCAATCCGGATGTGTAGGACCTTGGCCATGGCACCAGGAAACAAACCAATCTCAGCGAGCCTGGCACTGGACAGGAGGTGGTGAAAGGATTGGGCGACAAGCCAGGATCACAGCTGATGACAGGGATAGCATGGGCCAAATATGACAGAACCAGGTCATAGGTCCCGTGTTTGCGGTAATGATTCACAGACTCCCGGTAGCGGTAGACAAGTTGTTGGGATATATTCTCCAATATCCTGATTCTACTTGCAGATTTGCCTTCCTCAGCCCACCCTCTTCCATATGCCTAAGGTCCCGTGAAAGAAAGGCTTTGGCTCAAAACATGGACAAGACACAACGAAACAGGAGCACATCCACACGTTTCGTCCGCAGGTTTTGGGGGGCCAAGACTGCAACCCAGCAGAGCTCCACAACATGCCGAAGCATATGATCACTGACAGAGAGGAGATGAAAAACTGGTGACCCAGTAACTCTTGACGTGTCACCATGCCTTGTGGGCCTTGCGGTCCGTGGATATGAGCAGTTTGCTGGCAAAAATTGCAACGCCTGTGCTACAACTGGGCTCTGCTTTGGGTGTTGGTTTTGTGGCATTTCGTCCACGCCTTTGTTGCCAAGCATTGCCAAAGCATTGGAATAGGAGATTTGTACACAAGTGCATACTATAGCAAAATAGAATAGAATTATAATAGAATTGGAATAGAAAAACATAAATCACAACTCAAGCATGGGCATAGGCGACAATCCCGGATACTCAGGATGTGAGTGGGTGACAGAAAAGCAGGGCCTAGCCTTCCTTACTGGACGAATTGGTCTTCCGTTACTCGCTTTCAAGGCTGTTGCCACTGCTGACCTGGACGATGTGGAGTTCCTTGCAGTTCTCAGCTGCTTTATTGGAAAGGCATTTGTTTATTTGCTCGCTTGTGCTGTGACCTGGGTCGCCTGTCACAAGAAGCCACGCAGCGATGCTTTGGTGTCCATGGCGATCTTCAGTTTTCATGTGACAGCTGCAAATGACTTCGTCTTTGGCATTCCGATCATGCAAGCATTCTATCCCAAAGATGGGATGACCAACCTAGTGGCCAATGTGGTTGTTCAAAATGTTATTTTCCAGGTCTGCAGCCTATCTATGCTGGGTGTTGGCACAGCTCAAGCTGCAGCGCAGCTTGCGGATGGTTCAGCAGCTACCTTGCAGGGCACATCGGCTACGGGTAGTGGACAAGCCTCGCGAATCGTGAAGCAACTCGCACAAGATCCCCTACTATGCGCCATTGTTTTGGCGGTTCCAAGCTCAGCTTCATTTTAGAGTTGTTTTTTTGCTCTCATGTCAGAACAGCATTCAACATGCAGCAGGCATGGAAATCATGTGGAATCTCCCTGTAGTGCTCTGGGCTGTCGAGGTTCTGTACAGCTTTCTGGCCACAGTTTGTGCTCCACACCTGGATGGCGCTGAACGGTTGCCATGGATTGTAGGCAGGATGTCTGGATATTGTCATGAAGACTCCTGGTAACACGGTTTCCCACAGAATTTCTTTCAGGTGTGGGTTTCATGTTTACGAACTGATGTTGATCCGACTCTTGGCCTTTGACAGGAGAGATGATTGACTTCTTTACCAGGCCCTTTAGCGTCACGGCTTTGCTGCTGACGGGCGCCAACTTAGCAACAGCCCTTGGTCAAAAGAGCCAACAATCAGATTTGGGCAGCATGTACTTTGTTTCGATTCCAATCTGTTTGGTGGTGGCCAAGAACTTCTTGTGCCCTTATGTAAGCCTGGCTGCTTCAGAGCTTTTGCTCCCTGGCAGCTCCAACAATCGCTGGCACAGCTTTGCCTTTCTCTATGGGCTGATTCCCACCTCATCCGCACCTTGGTTGTTCCAAAGTGCGGCTTCTCCCATGTCATGTCCTACTTCGTTGGACGTTGCATTTAGTGAAGTTTGGGCAACCAATCTGTTTTGGTATGGTTAACTATGGAATATATAATCCAGGCCCCGATGCTGGTGGCCATGCGTGTGGGGAAGCACATCGAAGTGGTGGCAGCAGCTGTGTCCGTTGGGATCTTGGTGGCTTTTCCAATGCTCATTGCAGCGGCGGTGTTGCTCGGAACTGACACTGTGGACGAGGCAGGGGGCCCTTACTCTAAGTTCAGAGTAGATGGCATTGCTTTGCCATGTGGCAGTGAGTAGATGGCTCCACCACATGTTTGAGCAATGCCATCTTATCTGAACCAAGTGTATATAATTGGTGGATGAAATCGCCATTAAAATCTACCGTCCGTATGATGATTCTCTTTCGACTGCACAAGCCGTGCTCAAATTTGCCCTCGAGCCACTGGGGTTGCGAAGAACTAGAACTCATGGAGAGGCATGAAGTCTTTTCAGTCCGACCTATGTGCTAGGAAAGTTGACCATGGGCACCTGAGGACATCATGACCATGGCATTGTGCTCACGAGCACAGATGGAAGCAAAGACCATAGTAGATTCTGAAGAAAAGTCGCGTTCCAAACCATCGTCGTCAACGGTTGCCCGTGTGGTTTTGGGCAGCCGACCTCGAGAAAACAAGGTTGTTTTGGGTCATGGGATAGCAACTAGTCTGTCAAGGGTCAAGAGAGGGGGCATGCACCTAAATGCTGTACAGATCCAGAGCTCTTTAACTGCCATCAATCAGATCGTGCATGGTCTACGTCACGTTTCTGCACATAGTCACATAGATGTAATATTATTGGACCGAAAAGCCCCCGCTGGCCTCAAGACCTCTAGGGAAAACGAGGGAGCGAGCGAGATGCTGCGATGCTGCAGGGTTTGGTGGATAAACAGCTACGTATCAGTGACTTGGTGGCGCTGTGTCTCTCCTTGGGCTGTTTACTCGTGTGCATTCCATGCTTCCGACTACAAGAGCGAGACTCGGAGTGGCGGAAATTCCCCAACCGGATGCTCGTGTGGTATGTGGGTGCATGCATTTTCCATTCGATATGTGGCTTACTGCTGGACAGCTGGTTTCCCACATGCAGCGCTATCGGAGAGTTCGTGTCCAATTATTGCGAAGTTCAACGCTATGTCTTGGTGTGTTTGATGCTACATTGGTTGCGGCGATTTGAAAGTGGGCTCCGAGCGGATAAGACCCTTTGGATCGCCTTGATCGCGCCTTTGCCCATTTGCATTTGGGCGCCACAGCCTTTGACGAAAAAGAATTGCATTCTGGATGGAGGAGAGGCCAACAAGTTTGACGTCATTGTCGGTTTGGTCTTCCTGGTTCTCCTTGCAAGCCTTACGCTGGCCGGGCTTTGTCGGAAGGGTGAAGCCGAGACCTTGACGGCATCACGTAGCACAGAGACCCCAGAACAGCCTTCCTTCGTTTCGTTCCACCTTGGTTCTGCCAATAACTTGGTCGAGTTTGAGCCGGACTCACCGACATGTTATCAGCATCTAGGCACCAGCAGGATTGAACAGAGCCCAGCAAGGCAATCCAGGCAATCCAGATTGAGCAGTGAGCCACGGTCACCTTTGTCACTGCCCCTTGAGAGTCGGAACCTGGAAATGCGCGAGCTGCCAACGGCAGCCTTGCAAGACCAGTTTCTGCAGAGGGGTGACTCACAACGACGGGGCTTGGCCAACCTCAAGTTTGCGATTTTGGTCATTGCTGCCAAATGTACTATTGTCTTGGCCATCTCCACCATCATCCGCAGCATTTTGTCCCTCCAATCCTTCCACACGGAGACCGAGTCTGCCTTGGTCTTTGGCTTGATGGTGCAGCTACTGCTGGAAAACACCGAAGGCCAGGGGTTGATCGTTGAGACATTCTTTCAAGAAGCTTTGAGGCCAGAAGAGGTGGCCCAACTATATCTCAGGCCCTAAAAACATCCTAAACTGATATATAAGGCAAATCAAGACACCAGATGCAATCACTCAAGGCTGTCAGCTGCACTGTGCTCTTTTTCCTGCTGGATTTCTTCGGGAGGTATCGAAACTCTTTTGTTTATTTTGTTTGGGAGATGGGGTACTTGACATTATTACCGCTTTCACTCACTGACTGCTGAGATTGAAGCTGCCCAATGACCACCCTAAGTGACTATATATGTAGTACTGTACCTTGACCAATTACAAGACAGCAGCTGAAAACAAATCTGAAGATTGACTGTTCAAACCAGGCTGTTTCATTCTACTGCTCGTACTGAGCTTCTTTGACACTTACTGGTCAAGACTTGCTCGTGAGCTGCGCCACCGCCATCGTCGCGCTCGTTCCCGGGCACCATCGTTGGAACCCACCTGAGTGAAGCCAGCAGCCAGCCGTCGTGCTTGAGATGCTTTGTTGCTCAAGAACCAGGCAGCACCAAAAGCCCAGTCCAGACCAGAAGCAATTCGTTTGGTACACGAGCGCCTCAGGTTTTCTTGAGTCACATCCCCGAAGTCTTGAGGAAATCAAACCAAGACTTAGCCTTGGGGCGAATTTTCCTGACACCAATCAACAGAAATCACTTGGAGGTTTTGAACGCTGAAAAGGTTGGCTACAGTCCGCGTGGGAACGGGGAAAGCTCCAAGGAAAAAGATGAAGATAGCGGTCTTGGTGCGTGGGAGTTGTGGAGCGACCAAAGTTCTTCAGAGATTGAGTTGAGTACATATATTAGCAGGTATCTTGATAGACAGGGATCGTCTAAGCCGCGGTGCTTCCAGGCGTCACGTGCCACTCATTGGCCAAAAGCAGTATGCATCAATGAAGTTCCTTCTGAATGATGCGAACGCGCAGTGTGCCAGCAGCCTAGATTCAATCGACCTGCCAGAACGACAAACTGGCGATGACCTGGAGACAATTTGACGGATGACTCCACCGTTGGGGCAAACTTTACAGCAGTGAGATGACTCAAAGGATGTCTCAAACAGTTTAACCCAATGTTTTGATTCGCCCTTTGAAACTCTCCCTGTGCTGCGCCGAGATACCGGCCATGGAGGGGGACTTCCAGCCCAATGACAAGGCCGCTGAGAAAGAGGGGTTTCAAGCCGCAGTGGGTAGAAGTGAAGTGTTGAACGCTCTGATCTTATGTGGCCTTGCTTCAGCTGGGCCCCAGCGACGGATGTTCTCGCCAAAAGTTGCCACCAGTCCTCCTAGCGTGCAATCAAGAACCTGATCCAGAGCATGAAAGCCACTGGTGTCAAGCCTGTAGGTGATGTCATTGCGTTCCATTTCCTTTCAGCTTTGCTTGCACGTCTTTGTTCAGTCCTGGTTTGTACAAATCCATGCAAATAGCTAGCACAAGGCTGCCTTTGGCATCCTTTGCGCAATCTCTCCCCCAACAAAGACTAGGGAAGACGCTGTAGAAATGGCAGACCGAGTCTCCTATGTGATTCGTCAGCGGGGACCAGTCGCAGGAGATGTCAGTGCCTATGACCGGTTTGCTGTCACCTTCCTTTGATCGAGAGGTGTGCCAAATCTGATGTCGTGTTTTTCTATTTTTGGCAATCTCTTACTTAATTAAGATTAATTAAGTAGGGGCCTACTTAGAGTAATTAAGTAAGGGAAGAGTAAGCTCCTAGCTAGTAGGACGCTACTAGTAACTGGACGCAGGATAGCTCACGCTTCTTCAAGGAAGCGAGCTCCCCTCGCCTGAGGGCAGGGGGGAGCTTCCTTGAAGAAGCGCTTGCATTAATCACTAATGATCACTAATTTTTTCCTAGATTTTTAGGGAAACTTAACCCCGGTATCGCTAGCGTGTTCTTTGAGGGTTCAACATGCGACACACAGAAAACAACGGGAACTGTCAAACATTCAGCCCATTGCACAGATATTCTTTGCAAACAGCTTATGCTCCGGCTTTGCCCTGACTTGTCCAGCACGGCCTCGCTTGAGGTACTGAAACGTGAGATTTTCGGCCCCATCATTCCGATTCTCTCAGTGAGTGGTGTTGAAGAGGTGCCCGCGGGAATCATTTGGGACCCCTACCTGACGGTGAGATGGACTGGCGGGGCCGGTGTAGGTCAAGACGTCAAATTTGGCAGGCCATAGACATCATCAACCGGATTGGGCCGAAGCCATTGATCGCATACTGCTACACGAAGGACTGAGTGCCGGCAAGGTCAGAATGTAGGCAAAGCAGGTGTGAGGAGCGGAGCTTGAATGGAGTCCCGGTGACAAACCATGAAATGCTGACCCACAGAGGGAGCTTGACACTGAGCGCAGGAGGAAGGCTCTGAAAATGCTTTTGTCAAAAGCGTCCCAGCAGGGAACATTGCAGTGAACGGTGGGCCTCAGGTGGGGACTTGACAGCACAGTTGCGACAGCACTGACTCTTCATTGCACTGAGGGTGTTTTCTTTCGGACAGAGTTGCACATTGCTTGCGCTGCCTGATGGAAGAAAATCCAAGTGTTTCAGTGTTTCGGGCTTGTTGTAGGCCAGCTCATGCATGCTTCTGCACAATTTTTATATATCATTGGATTCAAAGGGGTGTTTGTTTTTGGGGTTCGCTTGGATCCATGTTGTTTTGTCCATCTCTTAGTCGATCTTAAGAGCTAGTGCACACCCGCCAGCGAATGATCGGGAACTACGCAGTGAGCTTTGGTGGCACTGGGCCGAGTGGGACTGGTACAGCTGGCATGTTGATGGGCAGAGGTTCGCACTGCTGTTTTGTGAAACCACAGGCAATTGAATGACAAGCTCGAGTGAACCAGGGACGCAGCAAGCCCTTTCTGCGCAGCTTGATCAACACACACACACACATCTATATACAGTTTTATACATATATAATATATATATACACATATCTATACATATGTATGTATACACATATATACATATGTACACAAATGTGCATATATATATATAGATAGATTTGATGCGATTCAGGTGAAGGTAGGGTCAGCCAATTTAACAGCAAGCTTGGCAGCCCGGTTGATGCTTGTTTCTTTTGTTGCTTCCTTTCCATCGCTAGCATTCTAGACGGGCTCTGATTCTAGACTCCTCCGTATGCAAATTTGCAGGTTGCCAGCGACATCCAAATTGCAACAACAATATGGGGAATGCCAACAGCAGGTCAGAACATCTTTTCTTCTACAGTTGCTTCAGAGGAAGGGGTGCCAAGGTGCTCCGCACCACGTGACTTCTGGAGCACCAACTTATGAAAGTCCAAACCGACCGCACGAGTCATTCGCCAGGTGCCGGATTTTGGGGCAAAGATGCCCTGCGGGAGTTTTCAAACCGCAAATATGTGTGCAACCCCAGATCGGATACTCTGCACTTGGGCCTCTTTTGGTCATGCAAAGATTCGCATTGTAAAGCTTTCTGAGGTGATGAGTGCCAAGGATGGGTTTGCGAGGCAATGCCCCAACAAAGAGTTTGCATATATACCTTGATTGAGACAAAACTGGTCAATCAAGGCTTCTGAAATTCACTTGGTTTTTCTGAGCCTGCCAGGTCTTTTTTCTCCGGCTTGCCCCCCTGATGTGCTGAAAAAGCACTCCAACTGGTACAGACGCGACCGCCCAGCTAGCTGGTTCTATCTCTCACTTCGATGTTCGAGACGCGGTGGGTTGAGTTGGAAAATGCCGTTTTTGATCCGAGTGGCACAAAGTGCGAACTGCGACAAGAAGCGGAAAGCAGTCAAGATGCACCAAGATGTTGAGCAATGCTTTGGATTGATCAAAAGAACAAGAAGCAGTAGATACAAGACGGAACGCCTGGTTGGAGGACTTACTTGGTGGACCTCCCTTGGATTGGATCGATGATTCAAGGGTTCTTTTGATTCTTGCTTTCTTGATTTTTCCTTGTTATTTGCCCCTGAGCAATGAGTGTGCTGCGGAGCTGGTGGAATCATTTGTGGCCTTGACCTTAGCAGAAGAGGCCCGTCCTTTTTGTGTGAGAACTTCCATTGGCACAGAGACCCTTTTTGGTTGGCCCTTCTGCATAAACTACCCTGGCACGTTGCAATTGGTACCAGTATGTGTGATTAACGATGAAGTTGCCTCAATCCAATTTCCGATTTGTTTGCTTTATCATTCCTGCGATCCCTAACCTCCTGAAAGCACACTAGCTGCGGAATATACAGTTGTCTTTGAGATTCTTTGAGGCCAGGAGGATGAAGAAGAGGAGGAGCAATCGGCCTGTCATAGGCGTCGCAAACTCAGAGCAGTGCAAGCACAGCTTCAGTGTCATTTGAGAGAGAGAGAGAGAGAAAGGGCGGGGGGGACTTGTTGGCGTGTTCTCCACAAAACCTGCTTCTACTTTCAGGGTGAATTTCCATGCCAATTGATACACAGAAGTCATTGTTCGTTCTCAAAGAGGCACGATAATAATGCATGTTGTCACGTTTCGCTTGGAAAACCTGGACTTAGTCTTGTTTTCCCTGCTGTCACACGGGTTTGGGGGTCCCAGTCTTGACCACTCCCTTCAGCATCAGATGCAATCAGAGGCATCAGCAGCTGGAACGTTCCGACCATCCCCACTAAAAGTATCTAACACGGGATGGCCGGGCTATTGCAATGCGGCCATGGATTGCTTGCAAAGCTGCGTGGCTGGACTATGTGCCCACCTCAGACGTCGTTTGCCTTTCGATGGTGAATACCTGCGGCACCCTGGACAAGGATGTACATGAGATATGCAAAGGCAACCACACCTCCCAAGGAAACAAACTATTGTCGTCCCTCCCTTCGTCATTGAAACATGTCCTTGTGCTTGTGCTTCAGATAGCCACTGGCTGAGTAAATGACGAACCGTGGCACACTCACCCAACTGCAAACTTCAGGATCTCATGAATCGCATCCAGCTATGTTCATCTTGATAGCTGCAGCTGAACAGAGAAGATATCAAAGAGTAAGTGGAAAATGTTTGGCAAACTTGTTGGCCAAATGAAACAGTTCCACCCCATTGCACTGACCGCTGTCATACTCTGCACCTGTCCAGGAGCATTGAAATTGAAAAGGGCCCCGGATATGGTCTGCCCGCAAATGTTGCACGCATCTCATGGATTTTGAGGGTGCAGTTGGTGGTACGCCCACTCTATTCGTTCGGAGGTTACATGGTTTGCCCTGCTGATTGCCTGCCAAGGTGCGTCCCTGGCCAGACGACGATCCAGCGGAGAACACGGCTATTTCGGTGAAGGTCGGGAGATTGGCTGGATGACGATGGATGACGTGGGGTCATGGAAGTCCTGGAAGTTCATTGACATATCTTGATTTGAAGGGGACGGTGGGTGTACGGCGTGCACGGCGTTTCCGGAAGCCAAATGCAAATGGATCCCCCTGTGACCGCGGACGTTCCCGAGGACTTGCTGAAGTTGAAGCGCGTGAAGGGAGTATCTTCATCCCCGACCGGCTGGTCTTGGCCGAAGATGGGGCACCAGGACCCACAAAATGCAAAGGAAAGTCCAAACGCCCAAACAAAACCTGAAAAAGAAACAGCAGCTCAAACTTAAGGTTTCGGATGCTGAAGATGCCTTTGGGATGGGCTTAAGTTCTTGATCATGTGGTGGTTGTATTATGGCCGCGGAGGTGGCTGATGGTTGTCCTTTTGTTGCTAGAGGACCCAGTGAAGGGAAGCTTGGGGCGTTGGCAATGGCAATCAGCTGTCGGAAGCTTGAACTACTGTAGAAGCTGTTTCTGCAAGTGAGCTTCCATTCCGTGAGATGATGGTATTACATAGCTAGCAGTGTGACGGGCACGTGTTCAATGATTCAAGTAGCCACAAACTAGGAACACAAGAAGATACAAAGTGAGGTTCTGAACCTTCCTTCTTTCAAGCCTCTCTATTGGCTTGACATGTCATCGAGTCATGCAAATGTCAATCTGAGACCGCTTGCTAGCATCTGAGAGGAGAGATGCATCGGCCTTAAAACCCTGCCTGTGGCCGCTTGCAAATCAACATTTAACATGTAGGGGCAGCAGGAGAGCTATGCCCAGAGAGGTCAAAGCCTTTACCATAAAACTGTCAAACAGTTCTTCTCGGAGGGTCAGTGGTTGTACATATTTTCTTCAACGCCAACCTTAGGTTTGGTTCGTTGCCATGTCAGTGTGCCAAGGTTTGCCTGTTGCTCTATCGCGGCTCTCGTGCCGGAGAGGCCGCAAAACTGACGTGCACCCATCGCACCCCTCAGTTCCATTCACCAAGTGCCAAGCAGGAAGAGGCGTTCTGTGAAGCCCACAGGAGGAGGATGGTCAAGTCTAGTGGAAATGTGGCCAGTTGCAGCACAGCCTTCTACCATTGAGGAGTGGTCAGAGGTTGCGTTACGCACACGCAAACACAGAAAGATTTGTCAAGAAATGTCCACAAAGGGAAGTAGTAACCAGAGTCGTGCCACAGGGCCCATTGCTCGCAGATGTTGGAGCTGCTTTGAGTACCCCAGGCACAGCTTTCCTTGCCCAAAGACTGCGGACCAAACATGTTGCAATTCAAACATGCTTGAGGTGCTGCATCGGGAGCTATTCAGAGTGCCATGCACTGAGTTGAGGTTTAAAGGTCCGAGGAGGGAAGGGTCGTTTGCGGCTTGGTGAGGCCCTGGAGCGACTTTCCTTGCGGCAAGCTGCGAAAATGCCACTTGAAGGCCACTTGATCTTTTCGGCGTATGTGAAAGGGCACATTCGATCACTAGGGAGGCTTACAGAGGTCAGTATCAACGTTGAGCAGACTGGCATGGCAGGTGTGATAGCTGTGGTGCTCGCTGCTGGAGGTGGTGATGTTTGTTGTTGCTTCGACTCTACGGTCCACGCTTGGACCGTTGAAGTCTACCTGGAAGCCATGAAGCCACCCATTCGGCCAGGCAATGCTGGCAACCATGACTTGAGTATCCATACGGTGCACCCCGCATTCCTCTCTCTCAGAGTATGCGAGACGTTCGTTTTTGCATTCTACGAGGTCCACTAAAAGTCAAGTCTGTCACGTCATGAAACCCCTGAATTTCCAGAAAACCAATCCTTAGCTGGTTGGATATTTCTCAACCAACCAGTGCGCGTATTATTTCAATTTCTAAAGGGTTGGAAAGTTGGACTTGGTTGAAATCCGCATGGCCAGGGTCCATGCAAGTCTTTTCGGGGGTCTACTGTGTGACCGCGGCCGGGTCATGTTCATTCTTGCCACTACAGCTAGTAAAGGTAGTAAACCTAGTGGGAGTCAGGAAAGCTTTTCTGGGCTCTAGCACAAGTATCGTTTTCCGCGGGAACGACAATTGGGAAAGGCTGAAGGTCTTGTTGAGCAGTTCATCCTGACGCCAGTAGACAGGCCTTTCACTTTGCCCGACTCCGTCCTTGGTGGATCGAGAGATGATGGCATGGCACTTGAAGGCGCAGGCCTTGCAGGAGAGGGGCTAAAGCGAAGCACAATTGAAATGATGCCAAATGGCCGATAGATACCTTGATAGGTTCGCACTTTCATACAAGCAGAGAGGTCTGGAAAAGAACAATTGAATGCTCGTGTACTTACAGTATTTTGTTGAGAAACATCGCTATTGTCCCTTCATGTCCCTTCAAGATGCTTGAGGTTAACGCTCCTGACACAGACTTGATGCAGGTCCCGGTGCACTGCTTCTGGATCTGTGGAGCAGGGTCTTCAGGTGCACGCTTGAAGCTTTGGTCCTCCACAGTCGCGCGGCTGAGAAGTGACTCGGGAAGCGTGCCCAATGTACTGTAGCTCAACATGCATGCCAATGACACCTGATGAAACATGCCTTCAGGAGTTCATTCTTTGGCCTTGTTTACGATGGAAGTTGTCCAGACTTGATCCAACAGCTGCCATTCCTGTATGCCCTGCACCTCAGGCTTGTCCTGAAAATTGCTCCTAATCGGTTGATCTGATCAGTGAGAGGGTTTGATTTTCCTCTATGTGAGGTGGCAGAGCTTTATCCATGGGCACGGCCGAGGTGGGAAGATGGAGTTGGCTGTGGTAGGGCGAGGAGTGTAGATCTGACGGAGAATTGGTTGAGCATACGACTGTGATATATATATATATGTGTGTGTGTGCTCCAAACCACCACAAACGAAACTCCAAAAATGACAACTGCCTGAGGGGGCATGAAACACACGTGAATTCGATCATCTCTCAATACTTCACGCACACCGATAAGCCGCTAGAAGCATTTAGAAGCAGAGACCATGTTCACCAAAACCGGCCTTTGCTCTTTGTGAAGGACGCCTCTCAAAGTGGAGCAGTCCGATCACCGGCGTCTCTTCCACGCGGTGCAACAGGCCAGTCTGAAGAATTGAAATCAATGTATCACAAGCAGTGAACGACTCCGGCCATTCGATGGGCACATGGTTCGTCGTGCTTTATCTAACCGATCGACAGGCCATTGAGGAGAAAGCTGCCTCGAGCTCAAGGCTTCGCGCGTTCACGCTTCGGGACGGCCCCATCTCAGCCGATTCTGGCAGGGCTTGCAAGCTGGTGCTTGGCATATTGCTTACGAGTGGGCAGGTTCAGGTCTCAAGTCAGGACGTGGAAGAAGCTGACCAACCAAAGGAACATAGAAAAGAAAAGGGAAAAGAAAAGGTCCAAAGGTCTAAAGAAGCAAATATATAATTGAAATTGGAATAAAAAAAGCGAAGGAAACATGACCAGACAAAGGAGCACAGAAAGAATAGACTTGCTTTGTTTCCTTCACCGTGCTCGTCCTGACTGGAGGACGACTGGCCACTGACGTTGCCTTGCCCGGGCTCTGCAGCGTGCCTGGCACCAAGCAGGGACGGATGAATGCAGGACCGTCATGGTGAGGTGGTCAAACGGCATGTTGAAGATTGGAATTGAAATGCTGGACTGACCTCCCCATGTACTGTATGTGATTCACTTTGATTTATAGCCCTTGTTAAACGTGCGTGCTTGTAGCACAAGCCATCGGATATCATCAGCTCTTAATCTGACAGAATTGTATGGGCCTTCTTCTACTCTACCGAACTAACTACCGAACTATATACAAAAACATATATATATATATATTTATGCATACAACTATATACGACATCCTCTATGCTATATCCCTATGTTATGTGCACATATATATATATATAAGAAGCGCACCAGCAGTTGATTTGATAACTTTCATGTCGACGTCGAGGCACAGAGCTTCAGAAGTGCAGAGAGTTGTTTCCCTTCAGTCCCGCATTCGACGACGTCACCTGTGTTTGTCGGACCCTTGACTAACGATTGATTTGTTCATTTGAGGCCTGAACCAGGAGCTGCTCCAAATGGTGATGAGCTTGAAGGTGGCAAGCATTGGGACTCAGCCGCGTGGTCGCGTGGTGTGTTCGTCCAGCTTGTTTTGTGAGTCGAAGATTGGAACAAAGTTTGCCGCGTTCACCATTGATTGGAGGTTTGTGTGTGTTTTTTATCGCTCTTTGTGGCTTCAGTGAGAATATAAGTTGAATGAGTGTAGACTATGGCGAGCTTGCCGGCTGTCCCACTTCCTCTATGCTCACAAGATGTGTTGCAGAACGGCAAGACCAAAGAGGAGGTGAGAGGCACACTTCTAGATGGTCTCGACCGATGCTTGGGTTGTCAAGGTGCAAAACCCAACATTGTAGAGGAGGAGGTTGATCACTTCCTGCAGAGGGGGCGAGTGTCAGATTCCAATTTGAGTCGCTTGCAGCGCAGAGTCCAAGCGAAGCTGGGTCAGGGAGGGCGCAGCGCCTGTGGCTCTGTGAGCAGTTATTCAGCAAGGACCGAAAGATCTCGAAGTAGCTTTGTAGAGTCACCTCGGAGCTGTGCTTATGATGCACTTGTTCCACTTGCACTTCCAGAGGAAGGTGACAAGATGCCAAGAGTGCCAGAGGATGAGGTGCTTCGTTGGTCTAATCTAGCTAAGCTCGCCACCAAAGCAGCACAGTTAGAAGACGCGCAGAAAAGAGAAGCCCAGCGAAAGGCTCAGCAGCAGATGAGAGCATGTCTTCAAGAACAAGTTGAACAAAAGACTCTCAGACAGAAGAAAGATGCCGAAGATGAGATGAAGTTCTTCCAGTCACAGACCGCAGACTTAGAGCGTTGGAAGCAGGACCAGAAGAAACTGGCTGAAGAACGCAAGGAGAAAATGAAGCAGGTGGTCCGCGATCGAAAGGCCAACACAGAAGAAGTGCTTCGCTCAAAAGAAGTTGAGCGAAAAAGAAGGTCCAGCGAAGATCGGAGGCTTATTTTGCGGGCTGCGAAAGAGATGGAGCTTGAGCGGCAAGCTGTGGAAGAAAGAAAGCATGCCTCGCAAGTAGCGCAGTCAGTGTTGCTTCAGGACATCAGAGCCAAGAAGGGGCCAAAGGAGGCTCGCCAATTACGAATCCAAGAAGAGAAGCAAGCTTTGGCTGAGTATTCGTTGCTCTTGGAGAGGCAGGAGGCCAGGAGTCAAGAATCAAAGCCACGGATCCGTGATCAAAACCCGGCAGCTCCACCCCAAGCAGCGCGAAAAGGTGTGGAGCTCTACTACGACCCTGACACAGTGATGAGGATTCGCAACGAGGCCCTGGCACGAGAGGAGCAAGTCGATAAAGAGAAAGAAGAACGACAGAGGACAGAACGGCAGATGAATCAGGCCAGGATTTTTTCTCCAAACAGTTTACTGTTGTTCTCCCTTAGGAAAAACGCGCTGGCCACACTGGCTGGCCGTGCCCCTGAACTCTGTGTCCGGGCTCTGTGTCCTGGTCTTGTCCTCCTCTTGCCCTGCTATTGTCCTCTGGTCGCGCTGGCCAGCCCTGTGTCCTCCTCTGGTCTTCTTCTTGTCTTCCTCTGGTCCTCCTGTCCTCCTCTTGTTCTTCTCGTGTCCTCGTTTTGTTCTCCTGTCCTTCTCTTCTCTTCCTTGGCACAGTGGATCCGGCGTGTCCTCCTTTTGAAAGGCAACTCCACAAAGCAACCCCAGCGGATGTCCTCCCCTTGTCCTCCTGCTGTCCTCTTCTTGCAATGGCCACAGTGTCAGGCCGTCCCGGCGAGCCCTGTCCGGATGTTTTCCTCATCTCCCCATGTGACAATCTTTTCGATCCTGTGCTCCTCATGTTCTTCTATTGCCTTCTTGTTGTCCTTCTTCAGCTGTGCATTGGTTGTGGCTGCCAGCATTTCTCCGGCTGTAGTCCTCCCACCAGGTTGCTGTGCTTCTCTGGTCCTCTCTTCCTCTTCTGGTCTTGTTCATCTTGTTCTCCGTTCTCCTCTTGGGGTGCTCCCCTCATGTTGTCCTCTTGTCCTTTTGGCGTTGTCCGGTCACAGCTTGGCCTTCTTTTGTCTTCTTGGTGTGTTAATATTGTTTTCCTTCCCCATATTCCTTTTGTCCTCTGTTGTCTTCCTCATGTCCTCCTTTGGTCTTTCTGTTGTCTTGCTGTTTACGTTGCTGTCCAAGGCAGGGGCTGCTGCTGCGGCCGCCCACCACCACAACAACATTCCTGCCGATTAAGCTGTTTGGGGTCTATGCTGGCATAATTTTGAACATGGTTGATTTGCCCACAAGACCATGAAAAAACCTGAAGGCTTGTTACGGCTTGTTTTGTCAAAGTTGGCTTGTTCCTTTCGATTTGCATTGTTGGATGAGTTTGGTTGGAAACCACCAGACCAAACCTGGATCAGGCCTACCTTTTTCAACAGATCGCTGAGAGGGAAGAAAAGAAGAAGGTCATCCTTGAAGAAGAAAAAGACCGCTTAAAAGCAGTGGAGGCCGCAGCAAAAGAGCATCGAGTGGCTGAACAACAGCGACTACATGCTGAAAAGATGAAAAACTGCAGGTATCGCTTGGAACTTGATCGGCAGATCCGCTTGAAGAAAACCATGCAGCAATTTCAGGAAGATGAAATGAGTGAAGCAGAAAAGGACATGAACAGGCAATATGTCATGGAAGCCATCCAGAAGACTTCCGTCCCCTTTGAGGAGACACAGGGCTTCTAAGTTGAACATCAACTTTGGCTGCCGCCAAAGGCCTTTGTTGTCCATGTGTGCACAGTATGCATTCATTGCCGCTTAGACAGTTTTGCGCGCAAAGACAGAGCTTTCAAACATGATGGACCAAGTCATCATGCGAGTTGCCCTTGAGGATTGACCTCTTCTGACGCGAAGAACGCGTCGACCTGCATTTAGAATGCAAAAGGTGTCAGCTCTTGATGCGCGCGCCAGATGCACAGAGACTGTGCCGCCACTTCTTGCATGCGAACTCTGAAGCAGTTCTTTGCGATGCATTTATAATCATCTATATACAATCATTTGCACACGTTCATTGGCACTTGAGGGGTGGCATGCGTGGTGTCGTTTGTCACCTTTAGTCTTGCTGTGGTGCCGTTGCCGTTACCATTTCAAACATATGTTTTTTCCCCAAGCAGTGTGGACACACTAGGTGTTCTTACAGTAATAGAACAGCAGCTGTGCTTAGATCGGTGTGCCGCGCGGGCGTGTCCGGCTAATTCGCTGCTATTTATATACAGTACATTCATGCCTCTCGAACTCCTCCAAGTGCATTTCGACAGCGCCGGCTGTGTGCATTTTCGCACATAGTGGTTACTTTTCGTGGCAGGCGCAAGGGAAACCTCGTGTTTTGGTGCTCCAAAGTTGACTTTTCGTGACAGGCGCGAGGGATCGGAGCTGTTTTACTTCGAAATGCAATTTTCGTGGCAGGTGCAGCACTTTGGACATGGTGGTGATCATCGAGGAGCTCAGATTTCGTGACAGGTGCAGTGAATCGTGACTTTTGGACATGTGGCTCGTTTGCAGATTTCGTGGCAGGCACAGCGCTCTGTGACCCTCGATGTGCAGATTTCGTGGCAGGTGCAGCACTGTGTGAACCTCGAAGTGCAGATTTCGCGGCAGGCACGGCACTTGGTGAACCTCAAAGTGCCGATTTCGTTGCAGGTACAGCACTTGGTGAACCTCGAAGTGCAGATTTCGTGGCAGGCACAGCATTTGGTGAACCTCGAAGTGCAGATTTCGTGGCAGGCACAGCACTTGGTGAACCTCGAAGTGCAGATTTCGTGGCAGGCACAGCACTTGGTGAACCTCCAAGGGCAGATTTCGTGGCAGGCGCAGTACTGTGAACCTCGAAGTGCAGATTTCGTGGCAGGCGCAGCACTTTGTGAACGCTTCGTGCGCTCGCACTCGCACTTCACTCACACTCACATTCACATTCACATTCACACTCACACTCACTCCCACTGCGCACTCACTCCCACTGACACTCACACTCACACTCACTCACACTCACTCTCATCCACACTCACTCACTCTCACTCACACGCACGCATGCCTGCCCGCCCGCCCGCAGGAGGCACGCAGGCAGGCACGGAGCAGGCACGCAGGCACGCAGGCATGCGGGCACGCAGGCAGGCAGGTGCGCAGGCACGCCCGCGCGCCCGCCCGCACGCCCGCAGGCCCGCCCGCACGCCCGCTCACTCACCCGCTCACTCAACCCGTCACTCACTTCCTCACTCACCCTCACTCACTCCCTCACTCACTCCCTCTCTCCCTCTCACTCTCTCACTCTCACTCTCACTCACTCTCTCACTCGTCTCACTCTCACTCGTCTCACTCTCACTCGTCTCACT